AAAAAAAAAAAAAAAAAAAAAAAAAAAAGTTATAATTTTTTGTTGTTGAATTGATATCAACTCATAGTAAATGGAATCGAGGAACTAGTCATTTACCACTTCATAATCCTTTGTCGATAGTTTTTAATTTTATAATAAAAAAATAGAGAGAATAATTTATTTATTATTTTTTGAAAAAAAAAAGGCACAAGAATTAAAAGGAGTGAAGAAAGACTTTCCCTTTCCAAAAAGCAACGCTTTCTAGAACGATGCTACATTCCCTTTCCACCATTTGGATTCAAGCTTTAGTTCCAAGAACCAAATCATTCTTTTGCTTCAAGATCGAACCCTTCAACCAAAGCTTCTTCAATGGAGTTTCAATAAAGAATTTAGATCGATCGATTTTTGACGGTACAGAGTTCTCTATTACATTTGCAACAGTTCATGATGTATTTCTTCACATGACTATATTTCTCAAAATCTATGCCCTAAAAACTGAATTTATCCTTGATTATTCCCCTCCCCTCTAAATCAACACCTAATTTATTTTCATAAGGACAGATTACAAACCAAGGAATCGTAGGAAAAAGAAATCGGAAGCCGAAAGTTATGATAGCGTTGAAAAATCCTCTACTCGATCGTTATAGATGATTTAATTTTCGAGCTAGTCGCTCAAATCGGAGTTAGGCTGCGATTTTCGCTTAGAGAAAATCTGGAGTTGAGATAACAAAACCTGATTCTCTTTGTGAAGAAGAAACGCCTTCTTTCTCAGCCTCTCGTTCTCCTCAATAATGCTTTGATTCTCCATGTACAGTTTCAAATTCTCGATCTCCATCTCTTCCTTAACGCCGGTCCGATCCTTCGCGAATTTCATCCTCCTGAAACAGAGCACCAAAACAAACACAGAACTCCGTAAAAACAAAATACAAAATCAGATTAAACAAACGGAGAAGAAGAAGAAGAAAAAATCAATCACCTGAAAAGCCTGTAGAGTCGAATCGGCCGGCGGCGATGGCGGCAACGTAAAGAGGAACGAGTGAAGGAAAGGAGCATGAATCGAGAAGAATCGCACATTTTTGTGGAAATTGAATTCGGAATTGGTTGGAGCGATGGAATTGAGAGTATATATAGAAGAGAGAGAACAAAAAAAGAAATCGAAATAGAAGAGAGAGAAAGAGAGGCCTTTCATTGCAATGATTACAGTAGGAATCATGATGGCAAAAGAGCAAGATGACGAACAATTCAGAACTAGAAGATGATCAGAGGGATACAGAACAAATTTCTCCCTTTTAAATAAACCTTTTATTCCACACATTATTTATATATATATATACCCCTACAATTTTTAATTAATATGATCGAATATGTTTAATATATTTTTTAAAATATAATTCTATTAATTATAAAATTGCTTTTTTTGTATTAAAACATTAAATTCTCAATTTTATATTTAAATTTATGAATTTTAAATATTTAATTTTTTATTAAATTTATTAAATAGTTTTTAAAGTAAAAAACCTTCTTAAATATTTTTAAAAGTTTAATTACTAATTTATGTTTTAAAGGAGGAGTGTTTCACTTAAAAAATATTTTTAAAAGGAAGAAATTTAAATTTATGTTTGAAAATAATAATTCAAAAAGTAGATTTTGATCTCGATTTAAAATTCAAATTTAGCTGTACATAATTAAGTACTTATCTTGAATTGCTTCATTATATTCTTACAAACTAATCCGAGTCATTTTAGAATTAGAATATTTTGTCTCACCCAACCTATAATTACTGCGTAATCAATTAATTTGTTAATTTTCATGATTCAGACAAAAAAAATATTTACTAATTATTCAATTCAAGTATTTTTAACCATATTTTTTCTCGTATCAATTATTATTATTAATTTTAGGTTTTTTTTTTCAAATGATTTTTTATTATTTCAGAATGTTTAACTTTACAAAATACTAACCCGAAGACTATTAATATTGAATTTACCATTTAACCTTCATATCCATCTACTATTGATATTAAAAATAAAAACTCTAATCACCGAACGTAAAAAAAAATAAGATAAGAAAATCTTCGAATTGACTAAACACATAAAAGGATTTTTTTATTAATAAAAAAATATTTTATTTCAGGAAAAAACACTAAAATTAGGTCATGTAGTACTAAAGCAACACTTCATTAAATGAAAAATAAACTATATATTATACGTAGATTCAAAAATATATTCTATTGAATATTCGTTATTTATGAGCACCAATAATAAATAAATAAAATAAATGAATTTTGTGTTTATATGAAATAAAAAAAAAAGTGTGGAAATTAGCTAAGCCAACCTCATCATTTTTTTTTTTCCAATAATAATAATAATAATAATAAAATCTCTAGCTTTTTATTTATTTTTATTTTTATTTTTTTTATTTTTGCATGTATATCCATTCACTTCGATTATTTACATCGTAGGTTTGAAGAAAATTTAAGATTGATTAATAAATTAATAAGTAAATAATCCTTTGAAGCGTATGTTACATCTATCAATCAAATCACTTAAATTAAACTGTAAATTGTAAATATTATAATTAGTTTCTTTCCTTAAATATTTTTGAAGTTTTTTTTTGGAATTATAAGAGTTGATTTAAGTTTTAAATGATAGGAACTAAATTATAATTATGTTTTATATTATGGAGAATAACTTGATAATAACAAAATAAAATGATTTTATATTAAATTTAAAAGTTTCCCTCTTAATTTTTTAAAAACTTTCAATTTAAAATTAATTAATTTATTGGATATGAAATAAATTTTATATTTAATAATGATTGTGAAAAATAATGAATATTTGAAATTTAAGAATTCAAATTTTTTATTATAGAATTTTGAGAGTTAGAGATATATTGAATATTAAATTATTATTATTATTAAAGATAAAGGGAGAAAAATGATCCTCCTAAATAAAAAATAATTTATTATATTATTTAATTTCGAGTGTTAAATATTATTTAATAAATATAAAAGGAAATTACAAAATATGCCCAATGACTGATTAGTTGAAAATTAATATATAATTTATTTATTTTAATAAAATCGTCTATTTTAAATATATATATATATATATTTTTTAAATTAGTTTACATATATAGCAAAATATAAAAGAAGAATCAGACTACACAAGATAGTAATAGAAAAGCAATTTCATAATATCCTAGCCAACACAAGACAATAAAATAAATAATAAAATTCCATTATAACTCTAAATGGACTCACTCGACTTTTATTAATTTTTTTATAAAATAAAATAATAAAATATGTGTGCAATATCAACCAAAATTGTATTTGAATGAGAGGCGGACATGAAATTATAAAATGTCTAGTATTTAATAAAGTCTTCAATTATTATTATTATTATTTTTAGAGAACGGTCTAGTATTTATAGTCTTCCAGTATTATTATTATTATTATTTTTAGAGAACTGGTCTTCCATTATTATTATTATTATTATTATTATTATTATTATTATTATTATTATTATTATTATGTGTGATAGTAGGATTTTAAATAAATAAATAAATAAACTTAACCCTTCACGGTTTCAAATAAATAAATAAATAAATAAACTTAACCCTTTTTAATGTTTTCTCTAACATAATAACCTTTTAAAAAATTGAAAATTTGGAACAAAAGGGCTTTTAAACCTTTCAAATAAATAAATAAGCTTTAAATTGCAATAATAATAATAAAAAAAAGCAAATTTAAAATGAAATTGTAAAATTAATTAAATTAAATTAGGGTTAGTAAGCAAGGTGAATATATATATATATATATATATATATATATATATATATATATATATATATATATATATATATATATATATATATATATATTCAATTATCCACTCATCTTTTCAATAGATTGTTAATTTTTTTTTCTTTTTAAAAATCAAATTTTATTTTATTTTATTCAATTCAATTATCCACTCCCATTTGATTGCCCATAATATTGTTACAATTTTTTTAATTTTTTAAAAAATCAAAATTTATTTTTATTATTTAAAAAAAAATTATTTTTCCTACTTTTCTTTATTTTTCTTCATAATCATCATCTCATCTATTTTCATCATTGCACTTCTTATCCAAATTACAATAATATTTCTTATGAAAATTTGGGAATTACAATAATATCTCTTATGAAAATTTTTTCCCAACCATAATGAATGTATCAAACCACGTGAACCTTTTTAAAAAATATAAAATAAAAATGTAGTGTTATGAAATTACCAAAATGCCCCTTCATTATTTTATTATTATTATTATTATTATCATTATTATTATCATTATTATTATCATTATTGGTGTATTTTAGGTACATTTTAATTGCGTTGTACCTTCAAGTGCATTGCAACCGTAATGCTAAATTATGAGCTTTTTTTTCCAAAAAATTTACAATAAAGTTGCTATTAAGAATACTCGGTGTTTAGAAATTATTTTCAAGATAATTTGAACATAGTCGATCAATTTTATGGTAAAGGAGAAAAGACCCAATTTTTTTACGTAGGCTTCGACCTCAAACTCGACCTCAACCTTATGGTTGGCTAGCACATGCCCCGGACTTGTAATTTTCTAATTCAATCCGATCTAGTTCATGTTTAACTTAATTTAAAAAGAAAAAAAAAATTCTCTAAAAAATAAGATTTTTCTTGTTTCAACCTCTTTTATTTCACTCAAATTCTCGATAAAATTTTCGATTGCTGAGTGAAGATGGAGTGCCTTACCCACCAAAATTTAGTAAACAACAAATACAATATTTATATTTTTTATTCAATATAGTATACAACCTTAACCATAATTATCCAATATAAAAGGGTTAATTTGATAAAAACATAATGTAAAAGGGCATTTGTGCAAAATTTTAAAGTTAACATCCTTTTGTCGAAGGATTGGGCCGTCCGTTCACTTAAGTCCACAGGAATCGAATCCAAAACTCCCAAACTCAATTTTTCAATATAAACTTCTACTTTACTTTACTTTCACAAATTTGTTTTTTCTTTTTTAATTTTTTCAAAATAAACTTACGGTTAAATATTTTGGTCAAAATACTTTAATAAACTTTCAAATTAGCCAAGTTAATTCTATCAAAATTGGTTAGTAGTATTTTTTCACCATATAAACATGTTTTCTAAGTTTATAAAACCAATTTTAAGTTTAAATCAAAGTATAAGAGTTAAATTCTAGACACTTTTAAAGTACAGATACCAACCAAACTCGAAATACACCGACCAAAATGGCATTTTAATCTATTTTTTAAAAAAAAAGTAATTTCATAGATTAATTTTTTCAATAGAAGTTGGGGAAAGGAAAAAAAAAAAAAAACAAAAAAAAAGATACAAGGATTTATTATAAAAATGCTTGAACAATTTCTTTGTTTCACAAATATATAGAAGCGATATTAAATTAGATATCATAAATAAAAAATATATGTTCCTATATGTATATATATAGAGAGAGAACAAAAATTCGTGGGTGAGAAATAAAGATATCCTTTGAGTAATTATTATTTGAAGCAGAAGTCCATAAGATCATAAAGGTTTGAACACAATGGGAAGCCATAATTACTTGAAGATGAAGTGGGATGAGTGAGAAGTCAAATACCTGTGACATGTGACATGGAGGAAGCCAATCCAAGAGGATGAGGTGCCAGCTCCCGCTGCTCTTTGGGTATTATTATGCTTGGGAATATGACTTTCAATGAAGCAATGATTGAACCAGTTCTTGGATCTCATCCTCCACTTCTATCAAAAATAGAAAAAGATAAACTGGCCGATATACTAAAATATATATGTATCAAATTGCCGTGGGTTCGATTCGGTTTGGTTCAGGCTGTTGTTTAAATGTTTTCAGGAATATGATTTGTGAGATCTACATCGGTTGGAGAATGGAACAAAACGTTCCTTATAAGGGTATAGAAACATCTCTCTAGTAGACGCGTTTAAAACTGTGGGTGACGGTGATAAATAAACAGCCAAAGCAGACAATATTTTATAGAGATAGACTTGGGTCATTACAAAGGGGATGGATTGTGAGATTACACATCAATTGAAGAAAAAAACGAAACATACCTTACAAGAGTGTGAAAACTTCCCTAGTGGTCGTATTTTAAAACTTTGAGGGGAAGCCTAGGGGAAAGCCTAGAAGGAGAAGTTCAAAGGATTACACATCAATTGAAGAAAAA